AGCATAGTGTCACAAGAATTATATGGCAGCCAGCATATCTGAAGAAACATTTCTGTTGTCAGATGGCACATAATAAAGATGTGTTTGATCTAGGGAACTCCTGATGGATGCTCTGTCCAGGCCCCTGCATGATTTGAAGCTTCTTTCTACCTTTGAATTGGCACAACTTTCATTAGATAGAAAATACAGAATATGTCAAACGCTAACTGTATCACACTCATTCATTTTTCAGAACAAAAAAAGCTCCACAGAAATACTAAGAAGTTTATACCCAGATTCCAATATCATTAGTGATAATTATCTTCAACAACTTCCCTATGATTATTTGGGTACATTAACTGAAAGAAAAAATAGTGTTCCATCAAATTGTAGTCAAATTATCTTCCAAGGAGACCCATTCCGATATAAGATGTCCATTTCTTTTTATTATTGTATGCTGTAGATGTTTTGTTCTCTTACAGAAATTGTTTGTCACAGAATTAAGATCTACCATCTACAGTGCTTTACTGTTCTTTTTTTTGGGGGGGGGAGAAGAGGCGTTGCAAGCTGTCAAATGCAAACTGTCAGATATAGTCAAAAAAGTGTGCAATGTCAGCTACCAAATTCAGGCAATTATGCATGATTTTTAAATGTTTTTTTCCAGCTGCTTACAGGTAAGTATTATATCCCATTTTATACAATTTTATTTAATTTATTACATTCCTAGCCCACCTAACTCAGAGTAGTTAACATACATAATACTTGTCACTCCTCCTATTTTCCCCACAACAACCCTGTGAAGTGGGTTGGGCTGAGAGCGAGACTGGCCCAAAGTCATACAAGTCAGCTTTCATGCCTAAGGTGGGGCTAGAACTCTCAGTCTCCTGGTTTCTAGACCAACATCTTAATCACTACACCAAGCATTATCTAGTCCAGGGGTAGGCAACCTTGTCTCTTTAATGACTCGTGGACTTCAACTCCCAGAATTCCTAAGCCAGCATAGCTGGCTCAGGAATTCTGGGAGTTGAAGTCCACAAGTCATAAAAGAGCCAAGGTTGCCTACCCCTGATTTAGTCACTTGCAAGATTTTCTTTATTATTAGCATTAAAGATGGGTATGGAGAAGCTAATTGGTATATTCTATTGCTATTCTCCTCCTGGAACAGTTTTACATCCCATTCAAGGTTTCAGCATCGTGTATGTGGAGTGGTTACAATGTTTTTCAATCTTGGCAACTTTAAGATGTGTGGAATTCCAACTTTTTAAGCAAATCATTGCAGTCATTAAGCTAATCTGCAATCATTGAGCTAACATCACAACTGTAAATGCAAACCCACCGTTTTGAATGGGGCTATTTTACTGTAGAATGGCAAAAAAAAGTTGCAAGTCATGATCACATGACCACAAGGCACTGCAACTGATCATAAATGCAAGTCAATTGCCAATTGCCAATTGGCGATCATGTGACCATGGGCAGTTGTGTGATGGTCATAAGGGCAAGTACTCCTTGTAAGTGCAAAGAGCGGAGTTTTTTCAGCACCATCGTAACTTTGAGTGGTTGCTAAATGAATGATCATAAATCAAGGACTACCTGTTTAGGTCTTTCCTAATGGTTACCATTCTTTTTTTTAATTATTGCTTGTTTATGATACGTTTCTATTTCTATCTTTTATTATTATTCTACTGATATTCTTAACTGCATTTGCTGCCCAGATTTGCCTTGGCAATATATGCAGCCATATAGCTTGACCTCTGCTCTATGGGGTTTCACAGAGTTCAAATACCCTCCCCACTCTTTTTTTAAAAAAACTATTTTTTATTGAAATTTAATAAGAAAATAAAATACAATCAATAGGCAATCAATAAAATACAAACTAAACTCAAAAAATAAGTGAAAGTAAATAAAAGAAGAAAAGATGTACTGAAAAATGAAAAAAGAAGAAATATTTAAAGTAGCTTCTGATCTTATCACAACAGGCATGAACAAACTTAATAATTTATCACCTCCCCATAACATTACATGCAAATATGTCTCCTCATAACCCATCCCTTATTCATAAGCAAATCCATTAATATTTCAGTCTTGGTGTCAGCAAAAAATCCATAAAGTTATCCCAGATTTATACAGACATGTCTTATTTTAATCTTAATTCAAACAAACCACCTATTTCTTTTTGCTTCTAACAATTTTAAACTTTAGTTCATTCAGATACTGTCATAGCATTTGATCTCTTTTCAATTTTTCTTTATCTCACCTTAAAGATTTCTACAAGACTTTACCCAATTTCTTTTGTAAGTCCAGTAAAATGTCGTTATCCAGGTCAATCTCTTGGCTTGTTATTTGCAATTCCACTTTAGGGTTTTCTGTCTTATAGTTCATATTTTTTATATTTTCTAGTATGTTTGCAAATTTTTTATATCCTGATATTTCTGCATCAGGATCCCTTTTGTTTTTTTCCAAAAGGCAACTGGACTTTCTTGGTTTTTTTCTTTGAAAACATTTTATTTCTCATTCAAGAAGCTTCTTCAGTTCTGGTAGGAAGTGGAAGGATTTATATTCTTCGCAGTGAGCCGATCTTTGCACTCTGATCTGTTGTTAGTTCTCTGAGAGTGTTAAAGCCACTGGGGGGGTTATCTGTATCCTCAGACTTACCTGAATCAGAGTGCAATCTCTTTAATGTTGTAAATCTTCCAAGATGTTCTGTTTCACATCAGTAATGTCTTCTTTAATATATTTTAGACATAGTCTATTCCTAAAAGCATTGCTGCTAGTTTTTGACCCCATACTTCAAATATCTCCTGAAGTATTTCAAATGTCATAGCATTTTCTGTCATTTGTAAGATCCACTGCTGACCAAAGATGAGACAGGCTTTTCATTATTTTCTCTTTTTTTTTCTTTTTGCCTGAAATTTCTAGGCCTCCTATAATAGATTCAATTTCTAACACCATAAAGATTCAGATTTCTGTTTTGATTTAGGATATACTCAACAAGTTAGTTCCTATGAATGTGCTGTTTATTTATATAATTATTTCCAAAATCTTACAGCAAAAGTCCTAATATTCTTTTATTCCAAGTTTGTCCGATCTTTTAATTCATTTATAACTTTCTTAAATCAGATTTTTGTTTACCCTTTTCCATTTATTTCTAACTCTTTATGCTCTTAATTATAGTTAATTTTTCTTTTATTCAAAATGAAGGTAGTCATTTTCAAACTTGTTTAGAAGATCTCTAATATCCTTAAGATACTTGAATTGGTAATTTTCAAAAGTGTTTAGAAAATGAATTAATAAACTCAGTGTCCTTAAAAGTCTCCACCATGGTTGAGAGCATGATGATTCCCTTTGTCTCCTGACACTCAAACCCATAGGAAAATGCTGCCCTGTCCTTGCAGAGTGCAAGTGGGCAATCTCCCATCTTCTCCTTGTCCAGAAATATTCTATGCTACCAATCTACATGCCAGTCCTTTGGTCTTTTCTATAATCATCATCTCTACCCATTACAGAGACATCTTACCTCACCATTCCTTACCTGGAAGCTCTAGTACTCTTTCTACGTAACAACGACATGAACTATTGGATTAGATCATCTGCCACCACGATATGTCTTGGTGACATAAGTATCAATACATCTTTACCCCTGATAAATTAATTGATGCTCTTGGTATCCTATCCCAGGGCCTGCAGACTATGGGGAATAACAGGCTTCAGCTGAATTCCAGCAACACTGAGTGCATTTTAAATAATGAATTAAGAATCAAGTCTCAAAAGCAATATATGAAGGAAGACTGGATGAGTGGAGAAAAGGGGGAAGACTGCAAAAGTGCACAGCTGAATGGAGTTAATGAGAAAGGTGAGAAGCTAGGCAATATAGGAGGTGGTAGAAGCAAAAATGGTTTTCAGAGAGATAGGAAGATGTGGTGCTTGAAGTAATATATAACAGGTAAGGCATCAGGCTAGAAACCAGGAAACTCTTTCTTAGCCCTAGGAGAGAGGCAATGGCAAACCACTTCCAAAGTACAGAGACTACTCCAGGAGTCAACACTGACCCGAAGGCACCCCTACCACCACCCCCACCCCAAAAAAAGAGCGAATGGTATTGGTGTATAGAATTAGCAAGTTTTCCTTTTGAATTTTTAAACCCTTTTTCTGCGCTTTGCATAACCTTAACATAATAACAGAATTGGAAGGGACCTTGTAGGTCATAGTCCAACCCCAAACTTCTCCTGCCAGGGGATATACCAGTAGTAGTGTGATCTACATGTACGAACGTACGTTTTCGAGCCCCATTTGCGCAAGGGAAAAGGAAGCAGCCCCCCCCCCCCCGGCCGCCCCATTTTCCTGCACAACATACAGAAGGCTACGAAGAACACGACCTCTAGAGGGCGCTGCAAGAAGGCCCGTAGCTTTCACCTGGCTTGCGTCTATGATTTTTTTTGACTTCATCCTTCCTTTCGGAGTGCGGGTCTCCGGCTTTCGCCTGCCCGGCAGCCCGAGAGCCGCGGGCAGGAGAGAACCAAAGCGATGCAAGAGGTGGGCGAGGCCAGGTCCACTTTCTTCTGAACAGTCCGTGGGAAAGCTGGCTGGGTGGAAAGGGCGCGGCCGTCGCCACCGTTCCCTAGAAGCGGGGTGAGTGCCGTGGCCGGGTGAGGCGGGGAATCCACGCGAAGGCGGGTCTTGATGCGCGGTGGGATGCACGAGCCGTGCAATAGCCACGATCTTCTGGCTCTTCCCGGCCCCAAGGAAACCGGAAGAAATATTGCATCTATTTCTTTGGGGACGGGGCGCCGTCAGCTCGGCGGGTCTTCTTCGGGCCTTTAGCTGGATGCGGAGCGAGGATGCGAGGCTGCTGGCGACGCTTGCGCTCTGAAGCGCCGCCTGCTCGGCTGAGCAAAAGTGCGCCGCAGGCCTAGAGGTGCTCCGAGGAGCCGGAGGGTCAGCAGGGGGGGACCGGGGAGAAGGACGAGCCTCAGCTTTCCAGACGCGAGATTGCCGAAATCCAGAACCCAATTAATCCACCTTAGAGCTTTGCAGTGCAACGTTGGGGATACAACCTTGCTCTCATCGTTTAAAGGTAGATATTGTAAGCTGGGAATTACAGGGCGTCAGTTATTCCGGATTAATTAGCATATGACCTGGGGCATGAAATTCAGAAGTGTTTTCCTAAGGTACCTACAGTCATATATTTTTTTTCGTCTTAGCGATGGTACAGTGGCAAATGTTTGAGGTGCGTTACAAATGTTCCTTTGTGGTTGTTTTGACTAGGTCCTTTTTCTTGTGCTTTATAAGGTAGGGCTGCACAAAGTATTACTGACTTTTCTTAGGAGTAACAAAATCCAATTGAAAACTGACACCGGAAAGCGTAATGCTCGCTCTGATAACGTTGCGAATGGTATCCTAACTGAAATCTTCAGCCTTAACCGACCACAGCAAGAGGGGTTATCACAAGTATTAAGTGTTATGTTGCCGGAGTTAACATTTGCTTCACCTGAACTAAAATATATATATATATCAAGGTTTGCACAATAGGAGGCTAAAAGCATATATGAGATGGGACCTCATTGGATTGCATGAACCTAGCCGGTTTAGTTTTAACTTAAGATCCATTGTGTTTTTCCAATTCAGGCATTTGCATGCAGTTCACTAGTAGATAGTTTAATTATGGTTTACAGTTTGAATTCACATTATATGCTTTGTCAAAACCTAACATGATATAGCTTTAGAACGGTGTTTTCCAACTTCGACAACTTCCAGATAGGTGTACTTCAACTCTCAGAATTGTCAGCAGTAGACATGCTAGTTGGGGAATTCTGGGAGTTGAAGTCCACTATCTGGAAGTTACTAAGGTATTTTACAGCAATATTTGCATTAGTTTAAGAATGGTAGTATAAGGTAGATTTTTTTAGGAAAATGGACAAGTTTTATAATTGTTTCTTTAAAGATTAAATTATTAAATCTGAATATACTAGTAGTATAAATATAAGGCACTGATTTAGCTTAGATATCAGAAAATGAGGCTTTTCTGAACCTCCTTTACCTAACGACTAATCATTTGTACTGTTTCTCTTATGCAAATATGAATACAATGTGTTTATCCAGGAAAAAAGTACAAAGCATAGGACTGGCTTTAGATGGCTTCTACCCAGATTTGGATATGCCCAGAGATATTTAAGTTTCACTTTCGTAATTACCAGAAACTCCTTTACCAGGTCAATCTATCAGTCACAACTCTTCATTTTCAATTGTAAATTTAATTTGGAGATAGCTGAGGAACAGGAAGGCGGAATAAAGGAGAAAGAAGCATGAAATTAGTTTCATAGTTGTTTTCCCTCTAAACCAGAGGTCCCAAATCCTTTGGGCACCAGGGACTGGTTCCATGGAGAAAGGTTTTTCCACGGACTGGAGAGTGCATAGTTTTGTGTGCTGCCTACATCCCATGGATGGGGCTTTGTTTGTGCGGACTGGTTGCTGGCATGCTGCAGCCCTGTACCGGTTGGAGACCCCTGCTCTAAACAACAATGCACAAGAACAGATAACTGCAAAGTGACAAGAATGAAGCAGTATAAATACTCCATGCAGTTATAAATTAACATTGTTTTGTTTCCAGAGGTATAGTCTTCAGTTGAGATTTATTCTTTGTGTTTTGTTATCCATGTAGTTTTATTGGCAGCAGTAAGGAAGTGGTTGGCCCTTAGTACCTTCTGAGATTTAGGGGGGGGGGTGCTTCCAAGGCCAATTTTGTGCCTTGGTATTCCTTGATGGTCTTACATCAAAGTGAGAACCAATCCTAGCCTACTTTTGCTATTTACTGTCAAAGAGAATAAAGACACAAATAGAACTGGCCCCCACACTAATTTAGATGCCAGTTGAATGAATTATCAAAATGACTTACCTGTTCAATATACTCTTTAGCTCCTGTATATTTCACGACTTGAGAGAATCTGGTTGAGTTCACAAAACACGCTAAATTTACCAAAATTAAACCATGTGGTAAAAAGAATGGGCAATATAAACTCAGTCAGCTGTTGCTTATTTAATTAGCCATGGTTAAACAAACATATTAAGATGTTTAGAGACACATTTTCCAGGTACATGGTGGCATTTGGGCCAGAAACAATTGGAATAATTTGTTAAACAAAATAGCCATTATGTTTAATACAACAAAGTTCAAATAAGGCTTCTTAAGAATCTGGTTCAGTGTTAGATCAGGCTTAAGGCTTATGTTCTCTGTAGCCTTGCTACAGACAAACCAAGACTAGAGTGTGTGGTAAATGATTTACTATGATAAAAGATGAGAGGAGTGCAGTACAGCAAGTTAACATGGAAGACTCTAAATTCTTTTGTGTGGGGCAGGCCCAATGAATTGTTTACTCTAAGAAAGCAAGAGGATTCTGGCATTATGTGCACTGAGGCTATCACTGCCAGTAACTACTGAGAGCTGTAAAAATAAGTGAAGAGTGTTCACATTGGCAATTGCATATGAGGAACCTTTATTGCCCAAAGTTGTCAGTTGCTTGCCTGGAGGAACTGCAGCAGTACTTCAATAATTTTCTGTTGTTATATTAATTTGCTAATTGTTCTTAATCCAGCTCTTCCCTTCATTGCCAGAGAAAAAGGATCATATCGAAACGCACAAAACGATATTAAACTTAGTGCAGCTTTTAGCTAATTTTTCCTGTTCTAGAGAATAGACCACACTTGGAACCAATGCTACCTCTATGCCATTTTGTTGCCTTTCTCCTGCAAATTATAACTTTAATTGGAAATTGGAAATTATTTGCCTCTCTTGCAAGGGTAAATTCCATGTCCAAAAATGAGCGTCTGGGTTATGAGCTTGTCTGGCAAGAATAGTTGGCAATGGGGCTGGTGGTAACAATAGCCAATTTGGATGGTTTTCAAAGAGGGCTGGTGAGGTTCATAGAGGATTAGGCTATTAGTGGGTAGGAAGTTTGATGACTGCTTATCATTAAATGAGGGGAGAGAGGTGGCCTGAGGGATCATTTCTCTCATCTCATTTCTATCTCTCTCTCAAAGTCTGATAGAGCAAACATATTTTATGTCCCATCCATTAAGCAATGTTCTCTGATGATATTACGTTCACTTGCCATTGCAGTCAGCAAGCTATATTATCCAGGGTTGACAGTTTTTCCCCCAATAGAAATTCTGTGCAAGTGAACTATGTATCTGTAAATGAATTATCAAGTAAACAGTCAGTAAAGGAAAAATAATTGCCCCTGGCATAATGTAGTAAATCATGCTACACAAATTATCCTCCTAGTGCAACCTAATATTATTTTGAATAAAACCTTTCAGGAAACTTAAAGATCCAGAATTCTGTGGAATTCCTTGGCAACATTGGTCTCACTGACTTAATATAGTGGTAATTTATCAGTTGCCACTATTAATGGGTTTAGTTTTTCATTTCAGTGATTTATGGAGAGCTCGTAGTAGTCTCCATGGTGATTTTATACAATTGTATCATTGTAAAAAATTAGTTGCCATCATGCAATAACATCTTTCCACCAAACTAAACAATGACATAGAAATAACATTTGAAAAAATGTTTTTACAGACACACACACATGCTCACATATACTCACACACAGTGCTAGATACAATCTACTAAGTGGGCTAATTCTCATGGCGTTTCCCATTCTTTTGTAGATGTGGCAAAGAATTGGGTCAATAAATATAAATTAGACTCAGCATATTATTTCAATACTGCCAGTAATTTATTACTGAGTGCCATCATAGAAGATGATATGTCTTGTCTCCTTTATCCATCTGTGAATTATTCTGAACAAAAATACGGATTATTATGACATTTCAAGGACTCAGAAATTTATTCAAGTAAGGGAAAGAAAATGTTCTAGCTTAAGATCAAACCCTTATTTATTTAGAATTTAAGACCCCACTGCAGTGATTAGTTATTTCTTTACACAGAGTTCTCAAACTGTAAGTGTTGACTAGAGACTCAAGCTGCAATATCTTTTAAAATTTTGCTTCAGGCATAAGATTCAGGCTTGAATTGTGAGTAGTACTAAGCTTACAAACCAGTTGTCCACCTGCTTGCATTTCTTAGTAGAGGTGCAAGGCTTCTGTGTGTTGAGATCCTTAAATTACAGCAGGTAAATCTGAAAGGAATATTTGTATACTGTATGTTTATTTACTTTAGAAAATATTTACATTTAAGCATTGAAATCTGTTCTGTTAAAAAAAAGTTGATAAAGTTTTTGTAATTTGATTTTATTGAAATCTAATGCATTTGTGGATGGGAATGGATTGACCCCATTAAAATGGACCAGAATCTCATTTCTGCATACTGTAATGCTTGATTTCTGTTGATCCTGTGGCAAACTATTGCCACATATTGGCAATCCAGTAGATGTCTTAAAACTAAGTACATGGCTTCAGCATCTCTGTGAATATGTTAGTGTTGTAGTATATCTGTTGTTTTTGGAATGTCTGCAGACACATACATGTTAATAAGAGTCAGTGTTCTCCTTTATTTTCCTTTATAAAATTGTACTGTTCTATTACTGTTTTTACAACTGCTGTTCAGAAAGTCTTGTGGAAAGTCAACAGTCGGAAAGCTGCGGGCCCTGATAATATCCCTGGGCGAATACTTAGGGAGTTTGCTGGCCAGCTGGCCACTGTTCTCACGGACATCTTCAATCTCTCGTTGCATCAGGCTGCAATCATTGTACCAGTGCCCCCAAAAACTAAAATCACATGCCTTAATGATTACTGTCCAGTTGCACTCACTTCCATTATGATGAAGTGTTTTGAGAGATTGGTAAAGGACTACATGGTTTCATGCCTTCCCCCTACATTTGACTCATTACAGTTTGCCTATCGGAAGAACCGTTCTGTAGAAGATGCACTTTCCTGTGTGCTTCATCTTAGCTTGGCGCACCTGGAGGGGAAGAATACTCATGTATGAATGCTGTTTGTGGATTTTAGTTTAGCATTCAACACAATCATCCCTCAGCGTCTGGTGAACAAACTGGGCCTATTAGGTTTTAATACTCCTTTATGTAATTGGATACTTGATTTCCTTATTGATAGGCGCCACGTTGTGCAAGTTGGAAAGAAAGTTTCTAATTCCATCTCCTTCAGTATAGGTTCTCCACAGGGCTGTGTCCTGAATCTGCTACTGTTCATCTTGATGACCGACGACTACTGTGCCAAATCTGCTACGAATCATATTGTGAAGTATGCAGACGACACGGCAGTGGTGGGTCTTATTCAGGATGACAGTGAAGATGCTTATAGGTAAGAGGTGAAAGCTCTGGTGGACTGGTGCAATAAAAGTAACCTGGTTCTAAATGTTGATAAAACAAAGGAGATCATTGTAGATTTTAGAAAGAGCCGGCATAGTCATACTCCACTCTGTATCAAGGATGCAGCTATAGAGGTGGTCAACAGTATTAAGTATCTGGGGGTGCAAATAACTAACAATAGACCTACCATCCCATGACTTATAGCAACCACAAGATTATTTAGGTGATTATGCAGCACAGAGAGCCTTAACATCAACCTGCCTTTTACTATAAAGTATCCTTGGCGACTTAATATTGTATTAAACAATAGGAGATATTAAAATCTTCTATTCCTCCAAGTGTCAAATTATTGCATCAATAAATTGATTGCTAAAGTGATATGTACAGATCATTAAAATGTATTTAAGGTGAACTGGAGTCTCCAAAGAGTATATTTTTAAAAATGGACATCAGATTTTCTATTTTGGAAGTGCAGTATAAAATGTTTGCTGGTTCACCGACCCATATGATATGGTCATGGGATAAATTGATATCTTTTTGAAATAACGTGTTAATATGTATAAGCAAATTTATAGGAAAATCTCTAAATGTTAAGGATGTTAATATGAAGTTGAACTATTTACCAAAATATTGGAATTTGTACATCTGGAATTGTGGGTATATCAAATGGAGGAGCTAGAAGAATCATATTGAGAAATTGGAAAAGTGATATTATTTAAAATGTTAAGCAATGTTTGTCAGAAATACATAATCTATCTGATTGGAAAAAGCAGTATTTTTTACTAATCAGAAGATGCTGCAATATTTGTTATTATGATAGATCTATTTAATATATATGATAGTGGTATATTTATTAGAAGTCCAATGGCTATTACAAATATTTATAAGGAATGTTTTTCTTTTTTCTCTTTTTTAATTTGTCTGGGGTTGTATTTTTTCTAACTTTCTTTTGGTTCAGTCTCTATGTAAAATAGAAAAAGTTTAAAAATTATTTTCATCATGCATGTTAGAAATGTAAAAATAAACGATACGAAAGTACAAGCAAGTTCAGGGCCTCCGTCAACTGACTGATTAATGTATCATCAAATCATTTTGAGTCCTAGGCACCACATAGATAGATGTTTTCCATGACAATTTATCCCTAACTTGTTCTTTCAAGTTTCCCAGGGGTGCAGTCATTGCCTTTGTTAACTAAGTTCATCTACCTTACTGCTGGTCAACCTCTTCTCTTTCCTTCCGACTAGAAAAGAGTTAATTCAGTACAATGCTGGTGGTTTTCTTTTGCAGAACAAATGAAAGAGGAACCAGAACCAGTCCCAAGTAAATAGATGCATCAGTAAGCAAAGCCAGGAATAAGCAGCTGCTTATCAGTTTGTCCAAGTCATACAGGTCCTTAGTGCTAACTATAAAACAGACCTTTGCCTCTTCTCTCTTTCCAATTCCTACAATAGTTGCATATAAACAGCAACCACTTCCTTCTGTCATGAAAACCTTTCTTTATCAAAATTATGCCTAAGGTGATTATTGCATACGACAAACAATAGTGAAAACAGAAGTAGACCCAGGAAGACACGGAAGCTGATAAATCTAAATTACATAATTCCCTACATAAGCAAGAGAAGGGGTCTCCAAACAATTAACAACATCTGTATTCAACTGAAAGAGTCAGAAAAGGGGCCTTGAATCTCTCTAGATTATAGATTATAAAGGGTTCTTTTTTTCAGAGCAAATTTATGGGATTGTAAAGGTGATTAGAATTGTTGGGCTGCATTAATCAGAAATAAATAAGCAGGACATCCAGCCAAGCATTGCATTGTTCAGTATATCCACTGAATTGTGAGTTTATCATATTCTTCCAGAATATCTTCCTTTTGTTCCCCTCCTGCTTCAACAGTAGCAGTTTACCAGCCTGTCAGCCAGCCCTTCAGACCAGACACCAGGTTCTCTGTTTCGTCAGTCATATAAGCATTACTTCAGCTGCATATTACCTTGAATAGATCCACATGGGTTTGGGCATATAAGCAAATCATTCCCAAACTTCCCTTTGTGCTAAGAGATCAAAATGGCCATTTAATGGCCACTTTTAAAAAGCAGGCTGGAGTTGCTGGAAGAAAAACTGAAAATCAGTGCCATCTCAAATGTAAATATTTCTAATTTAAGCTAGAATTGAGAGAAAACTGGTATCAGAATTGGGACCAAGGCTCATCTATTCTTTAGAGGCCAAGAAAGTCAAGAATTGCACTATATTTAACTTAATAATAAGCACTTATAGAAAAAGAAATCTATTTTACACAAATCATAATTGGAGCCCTCAAAGAGATATATAAAGGACTTCCTCAGTATCTGGAATTATTAAGTTTAGCAGACCTGAGCACCCTAATTTTAAAAAAACAACACTCTGCTTGGAATTGAGTCTATTTTTAGACACTATGATAATTCTAAGGTTCTTGGTTAGGACTTGAAGTATTAAGCCTTAATAATAAGTCTTACATTTTATATAAATCATGATGTAAGATATTGATTGTAAGATATGTGACTGAATCATTACTTTATACTTATATTTTATTTATAAACATTTCTGTTAAACAGTCTCTATTATTGCTGTGCAATTTCATCAGATATAGACATATTTGTGGAGATTAACCAAAGATGTGTATTGTATAAGTACGTGCAGACTGCCCTGGCAGTTGAAACACGTACGAAGTACAAATAAATGTTATCTGTGTCTATGTCTAGCAAATAGCTAACCAGAAGGTTGTTATTTTCTCCTTGAGAGCGAGGTCTATGTGTAAAATTTTCAATAAAAGAGAGCTTACGAATCTACTCGAGGTTCTCACTTTTGCAGACAGCCCTGTGTCTTGTGTTTCATGGGAACCGGATCACTACACATATTTATTTATGATATAAATTTATCAATCTCAGAATTGCAGGTATAGGTATTACATATATAGGTATACGTTACCTGTCTGTAGATATTCAAATCTGTCTCAGCAATTCAAGCCATTGCAAATTTTTCTAAAGAGCTCTCATTTCCAATATGCTTTTCAGGACCTGTTTAGTTGTGTATCTGTGAGAACAATGGGAATAATTGTGTCAAAAATTAAGTTAAGTTAGGGATCAAGGTTTGGGGGGAGGACGTGATGAAGGAGCATTGCTTTTTCAAGAAAGCGAGGCAGACTTTTGATGATAAAAACAAGAGTTGGGCTGGTGATCTTGGAGCAATTAAACAGATTGTTTTATCTGTCCCATAATCTTTTCAGGTTAATTCAGTTCTACCAAAGCACACATCAACATGGCCTCGTGGAATGGCAGCAATCCAGCAGACAGGAGAAGAACAGGAGAAAGACGCAGATCATCCCAGGAAATAGCATCAGGTAAACATGGCTGCAGCTCTTCATTTGACTCTGATGATGAATAACCAGTTGGCAAGCTTCACCTGTCAGTTTTTCTTAAACATGACAGTAGCAATGGCTTTTGCTAGAAATATAGTTCTACCACATTCTAATGCAGTGTTTCTCAACCTTGACCATTTTAAGGCATGTGGACTTCAACTCCCAGAATTCCACAGCCAGCAATGCTGGCTGTGGAATTCTGGGAGTTAAAGTCCACATGCCTTAAAATGGTCAAGGTTGAGAAACACTGTTCTAATGCTTTTTGCAGGAATTTATGTAGTGAGGTCAGTTCATATCAGGAGGACTAATTGTTTTAGGCTGAGATGCCTCTGTGATTGGCTGTTGATGGGCTTTGGCAGGCAGTGTGCTTAGAAAAACAAATGGATCATGGCATAGGTACATCAAACATGCCTGCCAATGCCAGCTCAGAAGCACCAGGATTTAAGCGGAAGGTGGATTATCGCATAGACCAAGAAGAGAGCGACCCCTCATTTCCGGCAGTAAATTATGTCTGAATATACTAAGAGTTACAATCCTCACCTCCTGCTGCCCAGTGTTCCCCATCCCAAAACTAAAACCCTAATATGTGTAATACCCCTAGATTTTAGGAGATCAAATATGAAGCAAGCATGTTTAGGACTTTCTTTTGGATTCAGATTTGGAACAGGCATGTTTAGGACTTTCTGTCTTTCTTTCTTTGAATTTATAAGTGTGCAGTGACTGCCTTTCTTATTATTTAATTCTCAAACTTAAAAAAGCTACATCCAAACCTTTTATTAAAGTGGAGAAAGCACTTTCCTCTCTTAGTTTCTTTTTTCCTACTCCAACAAGTAACGTCAGTAATGGAGGCCAAGAATTTGTTGCATCTCTGGCTCCTGGTAGAGTTGGATTGACAGCACATACCAGGATAATTGATATTCCCCCCCCCCCATTCCCTATTACTGTTACATCGTTCTTTGAAAGCCTTGGTCTCAGAAAAGTCTCATGTATGTCTTCTGCCTGCAGGTGACCAATAACAAACTCCCCTATTATTTGGAAGGCACCAAAGAATATAATTAAGCCATTCCAAAGTGACTAACCGTATATATAATCAGTATTGCTTTTGTATCAAGGAGATAATGGGGACTACTGTATGAGTAATCATCAAGTTGAAATAAATCTTTGTGTTTTATTGGGGGCTGTCACTTTAGAACAATTTTTGCTGGACATGATAAGCAGCTGTAAAGAAAAAAAAATTCCACTCAGGTTTCATTCAGTTACCAGCATTTGATATATGGGAACCATAAAATGATATCTGCATCAGCTCTGGATAATATGGGGTTGTTGATGTCATGGTAGGCATAATCTATGTGCAGTATTTTATGACTGTGCCCAAGAATTTATTGGAACCTCTTTCTTTCCCAGAAAAAAAATTGTTTTTTCTTTATTCTGATACAAAGCAGAAATGAATAAGTATCTGATGTAATTTATTCATTTGACAAGCTTGCTTCCAAAGGAGAGGGTTACAAAATCATTATTGGAGTGTGTGCATTGTGTAGTAGACTATTGGCAGCTCAGCTACAATTTTGAATAATTCCTTCAGCTTGGCAGTCATATTTCAACATCATCCACCCATATGTGCAATAGTCATTAGAAAAAATTAATCAATGTGTAAGCTCCATCTTAAAATATGTTGCAGCAGGTAAATTTATTTTCAGACATTTGGGGATTTTATTTGTGAATTACCAGGGTATGAAAACTTTAAGATTAGGGCTAGGGTTCTGCTGCATTAGACACTCAAGTTGTTTCCCAAAATAATTATCAAATATTTTGCTAGGAGAGAGTTAACAACTCATTAGAGGTAAACTTGTTGTGGGTTCTTATTTCCTATCCCAGGGATGCAGTTGCCTAAGACTGCATAGCCTTGTCCCTAACATGCAAATAACACATGGGACAATATATTTTTCAGAATCAAGTTCATGATTACTTTGGATTATAATTTTACAGATTTCTGTCTTAGAAGAAAGCTTAGTATGCTACTGTTATATATTCATTAATACACTAAACCAGTTAGAACTGGCATTTGCATTCATCCCACATATAGGCAGCTTCTTAAATTTTGTGGCAGTTTATAGGCTATTTGGTTCAACTTCTCCATCCATATATCTTGTGTGCAGGTTTAACAGAGAAAAATTGCTATATTCTCAATGCAAATCTCTTAAAACCCTGAATTTTTAAGACGTTATAGGTGGAGTGTTTGCTATTAGCCTCAGCCATATGGGATAATAATCTTAAGAGGATACCTCCTGTATAGATTAGCTGAGATAAAATGTTAGTTACTAGGGTACTTGGCTCTTATGCCACCGCATAGCTTTGAGATAATGAGTTCTGCAGTATCATTTTGTATGCATTAATGCATAGACTATGTTTTCATTGTCATGGCTTCATTTGCATCCTTCGAATCTGCACAATATATGATAGACAGAAATTTTATTTTAGTTATTGACCAATAAAAATATGTTCGGCAAAACAAAGCAACCCTAATATCAATGACTACTAGCAACGATTTGTGAACGAAGTCCCAAAGGTGCTTTTTCAAAAGGCAACTGGACTTTTTGTTTTTCCTTAAATTTCCATAATTTTGCTCCAATATGTGTAAACTTTGCTCCCAAATGACTGTGGAGATTCTCAGTCATCCAGGTCATGGTTGTCTCAAAGGTGCTTTTTCAAAAGTTCTTCAAGAACTAAAGAAGCTTTTGGATGAAAAGCAAAACATCTTCAAGGGAAAAACGAAGTCCAGTTGCCTTTTGAAAAAGCACCTTTGAGACAACCATGACCTGGATGACTGAGAATCTGCATAGACATTTGTGAGCAAAGCTTACACATAATGGAGCGAAATTTTACTACTTTTAGAGAGATTTATCCAACAGACATTGCAAATAAAAATTATCAAAGTGCCCCAGAAATATAGATAAAAAAAGAAAAAATCATCTGGCAGTAAATATCCCTGTAAAACTGACGATACAAAAAAAACCACACTTGCCCAATGTACAATTATGAATAATTCCTAATCAATGAATGATAGTGGTGTTTTCAGTGACATTGGGATCATGTTGGCTTATTTACTGGATTTTTTAAAGTAAATACACAGAGTTAGTGCAAAATTAAAATCATTATTGAGATGATGGAGCTTTGAGATCAAGATCAAGCTATTCTCCAAAGCACCTGAAGGCAGGACAAGAAGCAACAGATGGAAACTAATCAAAGAGAGAAACAATCTAGAACTAAGGAGAAATTTTCTGACAGTTAGAACAATTAATCAGTGGAACAACCTGCCTCCAGAAGCGGTGAATGCTCCAACACTGGAAGTTTTTAAGAAGAGACTGGACAGCCATTTGTCTGAAATGGTATAGTGTTTCCTGCCTGAGCAGGGGATTGGACTAGATGACCTCTAAGGTCCCTTCCAACTATTATTGTTGTTGTTATTATTGTTATGTATATGAATGTGCCCTTTTTTACTTAAATGTTTTTGAATAATTAACTTTGTTTAAACAACTTGGATGACTCCATTTGATCTGTTGGAAAATAATTTTCCTTCAGAGATTGCTCCCTATTATTTACACATTCCAGTGCACCTAATACCAATATATTGGTTTATACTTTAATCTTTGTATAAACAATAGTGATTTTGCATCTCTAAATATCCTGGACTCCAGCCAGAGTCACTTTGTTGAGTTGGGCAGCTTTAGAAATTGAATGAATGAATGAATATCTAGCATACTTAACTTACATATGCTTGTTCCAAAACAGACTTAATTATATGATATGGAGCAAAATATACTGCATAACCAGGATTTTTAGATAATGTTACATAATTTGCTCTAGCACTCTACTTCAATTATTATTTTTATCTTTTTAAGTTTTACAGGGGGGAAAAACAAATGATGAGACTAATTATAAAATGTAAACATACTAAAGTTTTGCTAGCAATGTGCGATATTTTACAAAACTAAAGAATTCTGGTTTTTGTATAAATTAGGAATCATTTCATTATATTCAAGCAAGCATATTTCCTGTTTGTACAATAACCATCTTCTTTTAAATCCTACTGTATGAGCTAACATTGACTTCCTGCACGTGAGATACTTATTTATCACTCCTCTTATTATTCATCAGAGTTTGCCTATGAGGCAACAATTTATAGCTCAAGGAGATTAATGCAAGAACAACTAGCAAGGAGGAAACGACCAGTTTTATTTGAAATCTGTTAGTGAATTACAGTAGAACAATTTTAAATGGCCCTATGAGACAAGAAGAATGGGCTATTAACATCCAAACTTGAAAGCCTATTTAAAAGCATGTTGAAAAAGATTATTATATAATGCCATAAACATAGTGTAGTTCAAAATTGCAAGTAGCTGTGTTTTTTTCTCTTTTTCTGAAAGTTACATCTTTCTCTGTCCTGGAATAGTATTCTTTAAAGATGAGTAGAGAGAGATGCATATTTTTTGTGTTTTTTAGTCACTTTAGGGCTGCTGGTGGCATGATGCTAATAGAATGATGTCACTGGAAGAGGAGGAGGAGGAGGAGGAAGAGGAAGAAATGTTTAGCTTTTCAGGCAGATTAAGTAAAATAACAAAATCTATGTTGTCAGGTTTCTCTTTCGGTTCTTGGGGCGGGGGTCTTAAGGTAACAGAAAATAGTGAGGATAGTAATGGGCTGCCTGATTTTTCTGTAACAGAAGTTCTGTTGACATGTCTAATAATACCTGACCCAAATGGAATTTTGTAGCTGTTTTTTTAAGAGACAGTTCACTTTACATTTTAAATGTCCTGAAATATTTTTTAAGCAAACTAAAAAAAGGAAACTGGTATAATTTTCAAGAACGTCCTTTTGCTTATTTTCCTATTTGCTTATTTTTCAGGATTCGTTTACAGTACTTTGCTAAGAAATGATAGAAATAGAGACTATGTTCTTAGTAAGCTAGGTTGCAGGGGAAAAGGTTTTGGTTAATTGTTTGCTTGTAACTTGTGGGTGATTTTGCAATGCTTCAATGAGAATATGAGTCAATTACTTGGTTTTACTTTGTGCAGCTGTTCTCCTTTCCCAGCCTGTGCTGATCTTGTGCAAGACACTGATTTCTTCTGATTTTTCCACCATGTCAGGTCCCTCCATTGTACCACGTCTTAATTAGCCTTCCAATAAAAGTTCAGCTCTTGAAAATAATTTAAGTCATTTCTTTAAGTGAAAGATGAAAAACATTTTCATATATTTCCAATCTTCATGCTATAATGTAGATACTATATAAGTATATGATTACTTGGAGGAAGGGCTGCAAATAGCTTGGAAAGGTCAATAGCTTGGAAAGTCAGCAAAAAATGTTAACCACATTACAACTTTCTTGGGTATAATTTCTTATTTATTATACTAGTTTTATTTTGCCTTTCATAAAACAAATCCTACCAAGAAGATTTATTAAAAAAATCAAAAATCTTAGATAACAACACAGGAAATAATGTTTTTGTAAAGACAAAAATAGCATTGGGGATTTTTTTTCCTAATGGCTGTTGGTAATACAGGTAGTCCTCGACTTACAACAATTCATTTAGTGACCGTTCAAAGTTACAACATCACTGAAAAATGTGACTTATGACCATTTTTCACCCTTCCTTATGACCATTGCAGCATCCCCATGGTCACATGATCAAAATTCAGATGCTTGGCAACTGACTCATATTTATGATGATTACAGTGTCCCAGGGATCATGTGATCATCTTTTGGGACCTTCTGACAAGCAAAGTCAATGGGGAAGCCAGATTCACTTAAAAACCGTGTTACAAATTTACCAACTGCAGTGATTCACTTAACAACTGTGGCAAGAAAAATCATAAAATGGAGCAAAACTCATTTAGCAGATGTTTCACTTAGCAACAGAAATTTTGGGCTCAATTGTGATCGTAAGTTGAGGACTACCTGTGGTGTGGTCTGGTTGGAGGGAAAAGAAGAGAAGAATCTAATTGGGAGAAGGCTTTGGTGAGGGGGACAGAATATCTAATAAGATTGTAGATTGGATGGTTAAAAAAACTCATGCCTAACTGGAAAATAAAAATAACAGCACTGCACTGACCACATTTAAGGTTGCAGGTTATAACTATCATCCCTTGCAACCCTCTGAAAAATAATGCTTTTATTTTAAGCTGCAGTGGCTATATATGATATAAACATTTGATGAGAAGTCTTAACTGCATTTAGTAAAAAGATACTAATCCTAAACTCACCTAGAAGTTGAATATAAAATGTGCAGCCCAAACATTGTAGACAATACTCCACCCTGGCCACAGTTCAGCAGTATTAGTGACACAAACAATATGTGCAGAATTACAGCATAAATTTGCTTCTGACTTTAAATTATTTTGGGAATGACAGTAAGTACATGGTGAAGTATATAGCAAGTGGCAGGAGCATACAAGACCTACATGAAACTTTGGGGATTTAAATTTTTTCTTAGATATAATACATAAATGATGAACATAACATAATCCAAATAAAAGCACATGGCGTCTTATAATGATTCATAATGCCCAGTAGAAGAGGGAATTTTCAAGAGCATTCTAAACATTCCAATCTCTTACCATCAGACTTGTGGTTTAGAATGGGTCCCCAACCCCCGGTCCATGGACCAGTACCGGGCCATAGCATGCCAGCAACCGGTCCATACAAACAAGCAAAGCTCCATCCGCAGGATGAAGGCAGCAAAACCATGCACCCTCTGGTCTGCGGAAAAACCTCTCTCCACGGAACCGGTCCCTGGTGCCCAAAAGGTTGGGCTCAAGAACTAAGAGTCAGTCTTGGTTAGCTCTTGGATGGGAGATCATAAGACATCCCAGAGCAGATAGGACAAGAGGACAGATGACAAAAGGCACTGTGCCACTGTGATACAAGATCCATCCCTTATGCATTGTGATAATGTACACACATTACTGTGTGTAAGTGCCTCTTACTCTGATTAAGAAAAATAGCATGGACATGTACCTAAAGTCATAAGGAATTGAACTTTACTGAGGCTTACTCCAAGGAAGTGTGCATATATATGATAAGCATCAGTGTCGATACATTTGTATTACTACATTCTGGTTTTGTGCTGTCTGTTCTTTCGGAATCTCAGGATATGTAGCCACTCCCCAATACCTTCATAATAATCCTGGAAGGTAGTTTATGCTGAATTGTTCTAAAATCATCAAGACGTTTTAGGACTAGATTCAGTTTTACCCTGGATTTCCACAATCCAGCATTTACCAGCATTGTGCTGGCTCTCACTTTAGCCTAGGATAATGATCCTACAGCTAGAAAAAAAGATAAGATAACCTTTATTGTCATTTTTGTTGCTTTGGATATTATCTTAAAATAGTTTAGTGCAATAGAAAATGTGTTGCTTTTCTGTTGGGAAATGAGATGAACAAAAGTTCGTATTTTTTCGCTTTACTTGCTAGCTGAAAAGAAAGATAATGTAGCATAATATATAAAATAATGTCCATTAAGCACACATAATCATATTCTCACTTGAAATATAGGGGAACAGAGGGGAAAGTACATGCAGCCCTCTCTATTGTGGCTTTGTCTTTTGCACTTCAGGAGTAGAGAGGCCATAATCTGGCAATAGGCCTAAGTCTCTTATCAGAATAGCTAAAAATAGCTTTGGGAGGTGGGTGGTCAGGCACGGTTTAGAACAGGGGTAGGCAACCTTGGCTTTTTTATGACTCGTGGACTTCAACTTCCAGAATTCCTGAGTCAACATGGCTCAGCATGGAAATCTCTCCATTTCTCCTCAGCATGGCTGGCTCAGGAATTCTGGGAGTTGAAGTCCACGAGTCATAAAAGAGCCAAGGTTGACTACCCCTGGTTTAGAAGAAGTAACCAATGACAAAGGGTTAAGCTGTTTTTCTTCTGCCTTCTCTTCTGCATTTCTTCTCATCCAGCATATGAAATATTAAAATCTGTCAGCCCTCCAAGATAAATCAGATCAAGAATAGGCACTACAGGGATTCTAGGAATACTATTTTTTTTTATTGCAGAGAATATTAACAGTATCTTGAAAGTCTGTCTGAAAACTGTATTATCCTCTTTTTAAGGACAACACAACCAAGCAGAGCTATCTTGACTCTCTTTGTCATGTTTTCTCATACAGTTTGTCAGGGCTGAGTCATTTCATCTCTCCCACTTCCGTTTCAAGGCCAGAGTAAGATTTCCCAGCAAAATCTTTCTGAGTATTAATGGGTAAAAAAAAAAAAAGTTATGGGAGAGAGAAATGTAGAGGAAAGAGCAAACAGGGAAAAATAATCCTAGTACCAGCTGTTTTTTTTTTATAGATTGCATTGTCTTCATCTGTGTTGCTGTTCTGTTTGGTGAGTTCTTAGTTTTGCATAGTTAGAGTGCAGCTTGCATGGACAATGAGTATTATAGACCAGAGGTCCCCAACGTTTTGGGCACCAGGGACCAGTTCTGTGGAGAAAGTTTTTTCCATGGACCAGAGAGTGCGTGGTTTTGTGTGCTGCCTACATCCCACGGAGGGGACTTTTCTTGTTTGTGCAGACCGGTTGCTGGCATGCTGCGGCCCGTACCGGTCCATGGACTGGGGGTTGGGGACCCCTCTTATAGACTACCAAATCTGCACCTCACCTATCTATAGAACTCATCCCATAAGTGTATACTGATGGGAAAGAAGGAGGATTGAAAATTTGAGCCCAATTCCTATTTCCAGCTCCTTGGCTTTATTTCAAGAATCTTGTTACAAATTAGTCTTCATCTATTACTTCTTTGTAGATGAGAGAACAAAATAGTGGCGAATATCTGTAGCTCGGGTATAGGATGAGCGTGAAGATTCGTTCTCCGAGCTTGCGGGTTGGTTTCTGAATGTTTCATTACCAGGCTAGGTAACATCTTCAGCAGAGTTTAGGGGATGTCTGTAGCAATGCTCTTCTGTTTATAAGGGCTTCAGGTGGTGGGTATGTCAAGTGAGGGTCTTGTGATAGGTCAGGTGTGAGTCATCAGAGAGAGTCTTCTGATGGGGAGATTACTTCAGGTCATGGTCATTGGAAGGTGAACTGCTGAGGGGGGGAGAGGGGGCGTATGTAGGTTGGTTGTGGGTTGGTGCTGAATCTCCTGTTGGCTGTGCGATTTCTGGGAGTTGAAGTCCACGAGTCATAAAAGAGCCAAGGTTGACTACCCCTGCTTTAAAGGCTTAAGAGACATATTTTCAGTATTTTGGGGAAGGGGGCAAAACCTGTCCTGCTGAAAGTTGGTGTTTTTGCTCGTGACCTTCAGCAGCCTGATCTGAGAGAAGAAGGCCTTGGGCTTCAATAATTGTGACCTACCTCTGCTCAAAATGAAGCTGCTGATAGCTGAAGGAGCCTGTTATCTCTTCTGCAGAAGACCTGGTAGCTCAACAGACTGAGGAGGTGTTCCAGAGCTATGCTTTCCATCGATACCAGCAGGAGCAGGAGCAAACTGAGGGGGATGTGCCAGTCGACCCAGAAATTGCCGCAATTCAGCAGGAGCCAAATAGGTAAGTACCACAGGCTCTTAAATATTTACTGAGTCTGCTTCCATGTTCCAATTTAACCAGTTTATTTTTTTTCATTGTGCAGCATCAACAATCAGGTGGGTCGACGCTTGGCTATCATTGCTGATGACATCAATGCACGGTATGACAAGGAGTTTTCTGAGATGCTGAAGTCCTTGCAGCCTTCCAGGGACAATGCATATGAGTACTTCACCAGAATAGCCTCCAGGTAAATGAGACCAGGGCCCTCAACCAGAGTTTGATGCGTATGGTTTTTTTTTTAAGGTTGTGGTTGATGTTAACCTCCATACTGCTTGTGCAATGACAAGAATTCCTGGTGGTAATGCAAACCAGACAAATAACAAAGATGGAGCAGACCAAAATCACAAATATTGTGTTTTTTGATTTCCATCTGGCTTAAGCTGTTCTCACAATTTGATATATCAATTTTTTTTTAAAAAAATATGCTAATTACTACCTTGGTGCCAAAATCCAGCCCCTAATTTAATCATATGCTGCTGTCACTCGGGTAACACATGTTCTCTGCAAATGACTTTTGAGCCTTCAGGAGAATTGGAGGGATCTTCTCTGTCACTCAGAGCATCTCTTGATACAGGAATCCTTTATTGGATTTACTACTGTGTTAAGTGTAAAGGCAATTGGCTCTTCAGTTAAAGTTTTTTTTAAAAAAAACCTTCTGAATATAAGACCAGCAGGATGGGGTCCAAACCAGATTGGAAAAAGAGGATGAGATCTTCAATCACACAGAGCAGTGGCCACCATCTTGATTCAGGGCTGGTGGCTGGGGTACAGCAGCAGGAGTAGACTATAAGCTTGCCTATAGCTTGCCTGCCTATAAGCTTGCCAGATGTGCTATCTTAGCATGGGAAAGAGGATGCTGGACTCCTCTTTCTCTTCAGGTTCTTAGGCCAGTGGTGGTGAACCTATGGCACGGGTGCCAGAGGCAGCACTCAGAGCCCTCTCTGTGGGCACACGTGCTGTTGCCCCAGCCTTGCCTCCCCCGTGACACCCTCCTCATCAGCAGCCCTCCTGGAGAAGGGTCGCCCCGAGCATGGCCCACGCGGAGCAGTGCAATCAAGGACATGGCAGCCAGGCAGCGTAGACAAGACTCTGCCCTCATGCCCCATCGTGCACAGTTGATGCTGCAGGGCACGGGTAGAGGGCGTGGCTGCCATGGCGCTGCTGGGCGATCTGCGGCGGGCCCTGGAGGCGATAAGTGGCCCTGCAGGCAGGAGGGGTGGGGGCAGAGCAGAGGCGTGGCAGGGGGTGGAGCGGGGGTGGGGCCAGTTTTGGGGCACTCGGTCTCTAAAAGGTTCGCAATCACTGTCTTAGGCCATCAGAAGTATCATGAAGGCAACGAAAACCATTATGAACCTGGAGATTTATAATGGCAAGGATACCCAGACAAGAGACTGTATGGAACTCCAAGGTGGTTTATGGTGTTCCACTTAGAAAAGTCACAGTTTTCTCCTCTGTTTCTTTCCTTTTTCCCCCTTTGATTTTTATTAAAGAAACAAAATGACAAAGGGTAAAAAATCACCAACAGAGAGAAAACAGTGACAATGTATACACATGCATCTTTACATTCACAAACATTGTTTTCCTGTTCCATCTAAAGATCATTTAACTTTCTCTTCTGTCCTCTTTTCCTGCTCTCCCCTCCTTGGGAAGCCAAGTTTCACCATTTTGCTGCCTTCAGGTAAACTAGGTACCAGGTAAACCGGCACCTACTGTGCTTTCTCTTTCCTTTTTTTCAGTTGCTATGTATGGGAACACTCTGTGTGCTATGTCTGCTAAGTTTCCAGCTGCACTCAAATGCTAATGTTGCCTTATAAAGCTGATTTTTTTAAAATTGGACTGTCAGAATCATCTTATCCCATCAGATAGCTAAAGATTATTTCCAAGCAACCATACACCAAGTTAAAAATGAAATATCTATAGCCACATGCAAGCACAGATTTAAAAAAGGATGCTGCCCAGCTTCATGGTGGCAGAAAAGGCCTTTATGGAGCAGAAAGAAAGGCCAGCTTCT